ATTAAAAACAGTTGTCAGAAATAATCTGTATGAAGGAAAAAAAACTTGCAAATGACTATTAAGTTGGAAGTATTGTTTTTGATGTATAAGGGATGTTCAGAATGCTCACATTTGAAAAACTCCTCAACTTTTTTTTTAGTATAAGAAACCACCTTGAGTGGTGTCTAGATTTCTAATGAAGAATGATGATACAGTTTGGAAAAGTATCTTGGACTGGTTTTAAACAGAGCTTTGTACCGGATTTGCCGAAGCATCTGTTCAGCTTGGTATCCTGTGAAAGTTTGTTATTTTCTGGGTAGACATTCTTATAGAGTATTGTCTTTAAAATCAGATTGTCTCTTCTATATTGAAAGCATTTTTATGTTTTCTAATTTAAAAATTAATATTTTCTTATAGATACTGTGCAATAAAGCTGAAGTAGAATGTGTGGTTTTTGCAAATGCTTTAACAGCTGATAAAATTTTACATTTGTAAAATTAATATATTGTACTGGTACAAAATAGTTTTAAATTATATTTTAAAAATCTCCCAATCTGGTGGTGTGTTTTCTTCTTCTAGCAGCCTGAGGTCAATAAGAGAAATGTGTGATCTTGTTTGTCCATCGACTGTATCCTTAATCCTTGGCTCTTTGGCTTTTGCTGAAGGTGTTTGGAATTGCTGCATTTGTGGGCATTTTTGTTAAAAACCCATATTCCATTGGTGAGAGATTTTCAAGAGAAAAGACACTGTTGTTTGTGTCAACAACAGCAACAAAAGATCCATCCGTAAAAGAGTCTTATAAGTTAAAAGATGTTTTTAGCCAGGTGCATGGTACACAGCTGTAATGCCAAGCATCTTGAAGGCTGAAGCAGGTGCATGGCAAGTTCAAGGTCAGCCTGGGTAACTTAGTAAGAACCTGCCTTAAAATAATAAAAGGGATATAGCTCAGTGGTAGAGCACAACTGGGTTTGGTTCTCAGTGACCACCCCCTCCTCCAAAAAAAAAAAAAAAAAAAGCGGTGATGGTGGGTGGGGGGTGTTTGTATTTATTCTTTTACTTTCCATCTGTGAAGTACAGAAATACAGGAATGAGGAGAGACTTAAAAGTACAACAGATTTTTAAACATCACCAAAATGAGCAGCTAATGTTACTCAAAATGCTGTCTATAGGAAATAATATATCCTGCTAGAGTTTGAGAAGACCCAACAAAGAATCGGACACCTCTTCCCTACTGAAATCTGAACCTGGAAGTTAACCAAACAAAACAAAAAAGTCACACACTGGCCAAAATATTACCTTTACTACTAACAAAAAGAGTCCTGGAGAATGTTGCCTCCTTATCTGAGGCAAATGGTTTTTGCATTGGGGAACCCCAGAATGTGATTGACTCTTCCATCATCTGCAGCTCCGCACCACTGTGGACTTCCGCCTCCATGGGCAAGGCTTTTACTATTAGACTCAGTGTATGGCCAAGAGCAATGGTGCTCTGTGAAGGCAGGCTACTTGAAAAGCATGGGTCAGAGAAGGACTTATCAATCTATGTCCAGCCTTCTTTGATAAGGGTGTTATTGCTTATTGCATAGTTAGGGTGAGTCTCATGGAGCAGCAGGAAGCCAGAAGATGGGTGTCCTACGTGCAAATGAAACTTTTGGAAATTATATGTGTAAAATTTAAAACTTTTTTTTCTTTTCTGATTATTCAACCAGTAGTTTAAAAATGGCCATATTTATTAGAAGAAACTGCTGAAAAGGGGACTGTGAGATCTATGTTTTACCCAGAAGTAAAATTTATAATCATGGTGATTTAGAAACAAAAGATTATACTGAGGGACTGTGGGAAGGCTAGTATTTTGTTATTCTTAAGTTTATGTTTTTCAGATTAGCTCTCAATGTTTGTTTATTTGTTTATTTAGGTTTATTTAGGATTGAACCCAGGGGCACTGTAACACGGAGCTACATCTCCAGTTCTTTTGATTTTATATTTTGAGACAGGGTCTTAGTTGCTGAAGCTGGCCTTGAACTTTTTGATCCTCCTGCCTCAACTTCCTGAGTCGCTTGGATGACGGGGAGGGCACCACTTTTCCTTGCCCTCAGTGTTTGTTTAAAAAATTCTAAGTGCTGCACAAGGAAGGTTACTGGTGGCAGTCCTTGGCCTTTTCCATATTGTTCTGAGCTATTGTTAGTTCTTAACTACCCTTCTCTTTTTAACAAAGTAAAAATGCCAAAGAGATCATTTTACTTGGGAATATCAAAGATCATAATAATTACAAATTCTTAAGAGATAGTAGTTAGTATGACATTTTTTCTTTTTTGAAACATATTTCAATTTCTTGACTATTTTTTCTGTGAGAAAAAAATGTAGAGGACGGGGAAGGTGGGCAGGGAGGGTGGTGGCAGGGACTGAAATCAAGTTTGAATCTTAAGGCTCTCGTTAGTATTTACTTTCTCCTTTGGATGCAACAGTGCTGTAAATTGTGATGAAGACTACTAGGGCAGCCTGGTGCGGTGGTGCATGCCTGTAATCCCAGCTGCTCGGGAGGCTGAGGCAGGAGGATCAAGAGTTCAAAAGCCAGCTTCAGCAATGTCAAGGTGCTAAGCAACTCAGCGAGACCCTGTCTCTAAATAAAATAAAAAATGGGGCTGGGAATGTGGCTTAGTTCAACCTGCAGTACCCTCCCCAACCCCCTTCCCCCCCCCCCCCCGCCCCAAATAACCAGATATCCCAGATAACAAGAGCAAATACAGTGTTACTATTGTCCCAGTTAAGTAAACAGATGAAAATGGACTTTAGGATGGGGAAAAATAAAAATGGCAAGAAACTTCCCAGGTGTACTTTGGAAGAAGATCTTCAGCAAAATACATAGAAGATGCTCAAAGGAGATGAGAGAATAACCACCATGAGCATCATGAAAAGCCACTTTATGACAGCATTGTGGGGAAAGGAAGCTAACCAGGACAAAGCTGGACATTTTGTCAGGGTTTATTAAAACAGTGGGATTTCAACAAAGCAAACGAGTTAAGGTTTTAGCTCCTTTTTGCTGCTTTGGCAGGGTCAGCTGAAAAAGGGGAAAAACAGGTTACTTATGTGTATTTAGATATATGTGTGTGTGAGTTGAACTGAAGGTTACCAGTTTCAGCTTAACTAGGTTGGAAGTTCTTTAAAAGAAATCTTGGTGAATTTGTTGGGGGCTTAAGGGCCTCCTTAATGAACATGATCACATTCCTTCACATTCTGGCATATCAGTTCCTGTGGTTGTTGGACTCTCCTAAACTTCATGGGTGAACCCAGTTTAAGAAGTTTTGCTGTCAATCTCCCATCGTATGCATTTGACAGATGGATGTCTACTTTCAGCTTAAATACATCTAAGAATAGGGAATTGCCTTTTTGTGTTTGTACAATAGGACTGCCCAACAATGGAACAAAGTGCTATAACAAAGCTTTTGGGTTGGGTTGAATTTAGTTGTTTTAAAGACAGTTCAATACTGTTTATGACCAAGCTATATTCACATCTTTTTTTTTTTTTTTTCAGAATGCTATTAAATGTGCCAGCACTGTTTCTATCCCTGATACAACATAGCACACTTGTGTATTTGTAAACTGTAGGCACAATTCAACCTCCCTTCTAATTTTAAAATCACCATCCCTTTTTAATTTTTTAAAAAGGGCCGTAATTAACATGCAACAAAATGCATGGATTTTAAGTGTTCGGTTAGATGACTGTTGTCAGTTGTGGAGTATATCAACTACTCTAAAAAGAACATTTCCATCACCCAAGAAAAATTCCTCCTGCCTCTTTCCAATAAATTCTTTCCTGCTCCAGGCAACCACTTCTGTCACCATTGATTAGTTCTGTCCTTTAATTTCATGTAAATTGAATCTTGCTATTTGTACTCTTGGGTGTGGTTCATACATGTGGTGGCATGTTATCATTGCTTCAATCCTATACAATTTACTTTTCCATTCAACTTCAGTGGACATTTGGGTAGTTTCCAGCTCTTAAAATAAGGCTGTTGCAATCATTTTTGTATAGGACTTTTTGTAAACATATGCTTCTATTTTGTGTAAATACCACAGTGAAATATTAAGTCACAATGTAGACATGGATTATTTTTTTCAATCCAGGGATTGAACTCGGGGAGCACTCAACCATTGAGCCACATCCCCAGTCCTGTTTTGTATTTTATTTAGAGATAGGGTTTCACTGAGTTGCTAAGCACCTCGCCATTGCCCAGGCTGGCTTTGGACTTGCAATCCTCCTGTTTCAGCCTCCTGAGCTGCTGGTATTACAGGCATGCACCAGGATGCTCAGCTTGGATTTTATTTTTTTTTGAATAGGGATTTCCTTACACATTTATTTGCATTGACCTGTGAAGCTTTTTTGATGGCAATTTCAGTATTTACTGTTATCCTTTTTATATGTTTATTTAAAATATAAATGTCCTCTTAGATCCATGTTATTATTAGTCCACCGCCTCATGGATTCAAGGTAAATGCTGTATCTTCAAGCTGCATTTTCAGCTGATGTCCATGTTATTGACAAAAACTAACAGTGAGGGGTCAAGACTGGAATTTTCCCATATGATGCTAAAGATCCAACTGCCCGAGAGTGATCATGCAGCTGTATGTGAACCCACCTAACAATCCCCATTTCTCCATCTTTTCTATAAATATGAAGCTGGAATGAATTTTAGATAACTCTCTTTTTTAAAAAAATAATTACATGTACCTTCTTCCACAGTAGTTACTTTTCAATGCTCTATGCAGCAATGAAATAGGACAGTTAAATGTCAGCTTTTAAGACTAAGATCCATTATTGGAGAGGACATGTCAATTGGAGAAGAAACATAACCTTAGTGAATTCAGAGTTAAAAGATTAATGTGAAGCTGGAATGAAGGTTGATGTGTTGTCGGGTTTTCTCCAGTTGGATGTGGTCATGAAATACCTTGCCAAGGAACCTGAGAGCTACAGAATATTCACTGCAATACTAATTTGTAAACAATGAAAAAGTGGCAACAAACTCTCAAGAGGAAGGGATACGTCTGGTTTATTTATATAATTCTGTACAGTGATGAAAATAATCTGCATCGACCAACATGGGTAAGTCTCAAGAATAGTGTTAACAGTCAGAAAAGGGTATGTACAATATGTACAACATGGTTCATGTAAACTGTTACACAAAACAAAATAGGCAATGGACAAACGCTAGCAGCCAAGAAAGAACACAGAAACACTAAAAAATACAAAACTATGACATCATTTTAGGATAAATGTTGACTCTGGGTATGAAGGGATGGGGAGATAAGAATCAGAATTACAAAGTGTCAGGAGAGAATGACATTTGAAGGGAAATTAAAGAATATTGATGGCCCCAAATTTCTTAATAAGACACCTATAGCACAAGAGTTAAAACCAAGAATCAACAAATGGGACGAATTCAAGCTAAAAAGTTTTTTCTCAGCAAGAGAAATAATATGCGAGGTGAATAGGGAGCCTACATCCTGGGAACAAATTTTTACCCCTCAAACATCAGATAGAGCTCTAATCTCTAGAGTATACAAAGAACTCAAAAAGTTAAACAACAAAAAAGCAAATAACCCAATCAACAAATGGGCCAAGGACTTGAACAGAAACTTCTCAGAAGAGGATATACAATCAATTAACAAATACATGAAAAAATGCTCACCATCTCTAGCAATCAGAGAAATGCAAATTAAAACTACTCTAAGATACCATCTCACCCCAATAAGAATGGCAGCCATTACCAAGTCAAACAATAATAAGTGCTGGCGAGGATGGTGGGGGGGGAGAAGGTACACTCTTACATTGCTGGTGGGACTGCAAATTGGTGCAGCCAATTTGGAAAGCAGTATGGAGATTCCTTGGAAAGCTGTCTAAAAGGCCTTTGGTTAGAGTTTTCCTGTGATGTCCTTGGTATGAGAGGAGCCCCAGGTGATTGGACAAGCACACCCAAAGGGTATTGATTGACAGGTCACTTGTGAGACATATAACAAGTCTCCATTTTTAGTTTTGTCAAATTTAATGATGTACATGCAAAAATGGCATGCTAGCTCAAAAGAGCATTAAGACATTGCTAATGATTTGATGAATAAAATGAGGATTTGAAATCATTTTGTCAGTTTGGCAAATTGAACTTCACAAGAGAAGATTAAGATCAAGCAACTCAGCAAGTCTCTGTCTCTAAATAAAATATTAAAAGGTGCTGGGGATGTGGCTCAGTGGTTGAATGCCCCTGAGTTCAATCCCCAGTGCCAAAACAAAACAAAACAACAACAACAACAACAAAAAAAGGCTTAAAAGAACTTTTATTTAGGTGGAGATAAAGAAAAAATATAATTCCTTGGAAAGCTGGGAATGGAACCACCATTTGACCCAGCTATTCCCCTTCTCGGACTATACCCAAAAGACCTAAGAAGAGCATACTACAGGGATACAGCCCCATCAATGTTTATAGCAGCACAATTCACAATAGCTAGAATGTGGAACCAACCTAGATGCTCTTCAAAAGATGAATGGATTAAAAAAATGTGGCATTTATACACAATGGAATATTACTCAGCACTAAAAAATAATAAAATCATGGCATTTGCAGGCAAATGGATGGCATTAGAGCAGACTATGCTAAGTGAAGTTAGCCAATCCCTAAAAAACAAATGCCTAATGTCTTCTCTGATATAAGGGGGGTGACTCAAAATGGGATAGGGAGGAAGAGCATGAGAAGAAGACTACCACTAAATAGGGAAGAGAGGTGGAAGGGAAAAAGAGGAAGAAGGGAGTTACACAGAAGATGGAAGGAGAACCTCATTGTTATAGAGAATACATATATGATGTTGTAATGAGAAAAAAAAAGTGTGTCACATTAGATTGGATAGAGAGAAAGGATGGGAGAGGAAGGGAGGAGCAGGGAGGATAGGAAGGGCAGCAGAATAGACAATTTGATTGATGTATGTACATTCCATGTATGTATTATATGTCAAAATGCACTCTACTGTCATATATAACTAAAAATAAATACAAATAAAAAATAAATAAAAACAAAAAATAAATAAAAACTAAAAAATAAAAATGTTGCACATTCAAAAAAAAAAAAAATATATATATATATATTGATGGTCTAGAGTCCACAGCAGGAATTGGCAAACTCTTGGTAAGTATCCTGAAGGTAAATTTTAGGATCTGCAGGCCAAAAGGCAAAGTTTGAGAATATTATACGGATAATTTATTGGGGTTTAAAGATAGTGTAACTTGTCATTGAAATTGGTTCCAAATATGTGAGTTTTTCAACTATTTCAAAGTATTAAAACTATTCTTAGCATTCAGACTGTCCAAAAGCAGGGTATACTGGATTTGGCCCATAGGCTATAGTTTAGCCACTGTTGGTTGGGAAGAGCACTGTTTGAAAATTCCTGTGATGATGGTGATGTTCTGTATCTGCAACATCTACGGTACTGCAACAACTACTACTATACATGGCAACTGAGACCGAGAAACTGAATTTTTAGCACTTTTTATTTTCCATTATGTTGAGGACCAAACCCAGGATCTCACTCATGAGCACTTGGCCACTCTTACCATGGAGATATATCTCCAGCCTGAGAAACTGAATTTTAAGATGATAACTGTAGAGTGAGGTTTCATGAATTTAAAAAGGTATAAAGGGAATGGTTAACAAAACTGGAAAAATAGACTGATAGGACAATGGGATGTATGGATATGTGATTTTAGGGGAAAGAAATACTGTGGGTGATAAGCATTTTGAGTGTGACTGAAAGATAAGATATAGTCAAGAAAATAATTTGAGATGAAGATTGAAAGGGTCATCTAGTAAAATTAGATTTTTTTTTTGGTAGTACGTGGGATTGAACCCAGGGCCTTATACATGCTAGGCAAGTGCTCTACCACAGAACTACATCCCCAGCTCAAATTGAATTTTTTGATAATGGACCCTGAGGTTGCACAATGAAAATGTGGAGGAGAGGGGCTGGGTTGTGGCTCAGTGGTAGAGTGCTTGCCTAGCATGCATAAGGCACTGGGTTTGATCCTCAGAACCACATAAATGTAAAATAAAGATATTAAAAAAAAATGTGGAGGAGAGAGATGTCATGTTTGACTACAGAGAATGCTGAATGGGAGAGAAAAGGACATGTCCAAGGATAAGAATAGTGAAGGCTAGAAAGAAGACAACCAGATAGCTAATCTATCTGATGAAGAACAGAAGAAAACACATGTGCTATCTTACACAAATTTTATTGTTCTTTAAAAATGGACTACTATCAATGATTTCAAAGTTTAAAGGGATACATACAAGAGTAGATGTCAAACTTTCTGAGCTCTCATTGGTTGATTAAAAATAGAGTAAAGCCCTTGGTATTCACACATTTAACATTTGAGATTCTTAATTAAATCATGGGGCACATGGGTTGGGGGGAGGGGGGGGGTCCTGAAAGTCCATGACATAATTTGTGAGTCTGCTGAGGCATCACTTTGAATAGCACACACTTAAGGTTCATAATCAGACATTTAATCCATGAGCCTGAACAACCACAAATTCTCTAATCATGACCCCATATGTATTTTATGTGAAGAACCTAAGTACAACAGTGTTAAAAGGGGCCCACAAACAACAGGGTGTTTATCTTAATGTGAATGTGAAGGATTTATTTAACTCCAAAAATTAAGGATTTTTCAAAAGGTCTTACCTTGCCTTAAAAAATTGTTCATTTTAGTATTCCCTGCTTTACGGGAAAAATAAAGATGCCAGAAAATTAAAATAATTTGAATAATCAGTAATTTCAAGATGTTGGTACCAGATTCATTTTAAGTAAAATTAAGGAGTTTAGGCAACTTAAGAAATCTAAACAATTATGAAGTGCAGTTTTGAAGAAATTATTATAATCTAGAGTCCCGTGAAGAGAATAGTCTATGGGAATAATTCCATACATTTGTGTACAGTTTTAACAGATTCTCTACTGGAGCAATAGAAAAGGGTGAGATAAATTGCATTTGTTTATTACTGGTATTATTTTTTTTTAGAACATCTCACGTCCTTCTTCTGCTTGTAAATAGGAGAATTCAAAAAATGTAAATCTGTAAAAGGGTCCCCTCTTCTTAGTTTCCTGTAGAGGTAAAAAGAAATCTTAAGCATAATTATAAGTATCCCTTAATCTTAGGTACAAAATTATTATAAAAATGTCACTTTTAATGTTCCTACTTCAGTTTTTTTTAAATCACATTTTTATATTTCAAATAAGACTCATCTTGAACAAAGATCCCTAACTTCACTCCTCCCACATTTACCACCACAAATGGGTTCCCACAAATACTTACGAAGTAAGTGTTGGCTCCTTATAGTTAATGTGGGTTGTGCACCTACGCTTGGGCAGAGATACTGCTGGACTTTCTGTGTTCTTTTTTGGAGAAAGAGAATGTTTCTTTGTTTTCACTACAGAAGACATGGGAGTATTGGTGATATCCTTTAGGCTACAGCAAGGTGACTGGTGAGTCTCAGATGGCACACCTATAAGAACAACAGTTAAATTTAAAATGATTCCAAGAGAAAAAAAAAATCACTGGAATAAAATTGTACTTAATTATATATATTAACTGTACACAAAATCTGGTATTTTATAATATGGATTTTTAAAACTTTTAACTATTCTTTTCCTTTCAAGCCAGGTAATATTGAAATGTTAAATATGGTAGATATAATAGGGCATTTTACTAAAATTTAACATTCTTCTGTGATATCTTACTTGTAATGAGTTAATTATGAAATTTCATTTTAGTCACATCTTGCTGTTTAGAATCAGTAAGGCCTTTACCTTTGGCAGTACCAAAGTTCATCATTAAGTAGCTTCCTGTAGTCTTATAAAGTCCTCAAACTCATTCTAGTGAATAAAGAGAATTCTAAATCACAGCCTCTATGAAATCTAAGATAAAATATGTTCCATCCAGTAAAGATAATAAAACGTTACCAGTGTTTTTCCTATCAAAAACACCCAAGTTATTCTACTTGGGACCGAGCACGCAGTGAGGGCACTGCAAGATAATCTTTTAAAATAACTTCAAAAAGCAAATTGGAGCTGGATATGATAGCACATGCCTGTAATCCCAGTGAATTGGGAGTCTGAGGCACAAGAATTGAAAATTACAGGTCAACCCCAGTAATTTAGTGAGGCTTTAAGTAATTTAGTGAGACACTATCTCAAAAAACAAAAAGGGCCAGGGATGTGGCTCAGTGGTAAAGTACTCCAGGTTCAATTCTCAGTACCAAAAAAAAAAGCAAACTGTATCCGAAGAATAACAAAATTATAACTGAAGTGGTTTTATAGTAAGCAGTCATATACTGAAGGATTCTATGGGTTTCAAACTTTGTCACCCCACAAACATTTTGAAAAATGTAACTAAGCAATAATATCTGATGAGTTTTCTATTCTGAAATATAATACTTTTCAAACTTTAATGTATTTATGAATTCATAGGGGAGATGCAAATTCTAATTTGAGGTATGGCTTTTTTTTTTTTTTTTTGTACTGGGGAACTGAACTCAGGGGTGCTTTACCACTGAGCCACATCCCCAGCCCTTTTTATTTTGATACAGGGTCTTACTAAATTATTGAAGCCTCACCATTTTGCTGAAGCTGGAATGGTCTGGATTATAGGCGTATGCCACCATGCCCAGCGTGATTTGGCATTTTTATTTTTTTAAAGAGAGAGAGAGAGAGAGAGAATTTTTAATATTTATTTTTTAGTTCTTGGCGGACACAACATCTTTGTTTGTATGTGGTGCTGAGGATCGAACTCGGGCCGCACGCATGCCAGGGGAGCGTGCTACCGCTTGAGCCACATCCCCAGCCCATGATTTGGCATTTTTAAAGTTAACAGGTAATGCTGATGCTAGTAGTCTGGGGACCAAACTATTTTGTGTCCATTTTTTTTTTTTTTCTTTTCAAAATGCACTATTTATATTTTCAAAGGTATACCAAGATAGCTACAATAATTATTACCATTTTGCCAATCTTGTGTGTTTGTGTGTATTACTGAGGACTGAACCTAAAAGCATTCTACCTCTGAGGTACATCCCAGGCCTTTTTATTTTGAGACAGGGTCTTGCTAAATTGCTCAAGCTGGACTTGAACTTGCAATTCTCTTGCCTCAGCCTCCAAATAGCTGGGATCATTACTGGCATGTGTCATTGTGTCTGGTTGTTTGATTTATTCCATCATTACAGCAGATTTTTAAAAGACGTTTACAAGCTACCAGTGCCTAGTTGATAAGAAAGTTAATTCTTTTTTAGGCTTTGGCTCCTTATAAACAAGCATGGTGACTCAGTTGTTTTGAGGACCAAATGAAATAATGTACCAATATTTTGAGAATGATAACAACCCTAGTGTGTATGTTAGTTCTACCACAATAAAATTTCCGATGAGCATCTGTGGGCAGGTGCAATCTGTATTACCAATATCCAAACCACGACTACTTTTGAGCTAATAAAAGCAAGATTTTCTGAGCCAGTTTTTCAGTTGTCTTACAAAAGAATACAATGCCTGTCAATTGAGGAAAACATTTCTTGGCCTCGTTAACTAGAAATTTATTTTAAATCATGGTTCCTGTCAGATTAAATATAAAGCCAAGTCATTAAGATGACAAATCACTAGATTCAAGTTTGATTTCATTTCCAAGAGGATGTTTCACATGAGTATATAAAAGATCTTTTCATTTACTCTAATCTCACAAAAAATCACCTCACCTCCTTGGGTGGCCTCATTCACTGAAAATAAAAACGCTGTCTCCATGACAAGTAATATTTATTGTTAAAGATTTAAAGTTTACTTGAAGTAGTGAGAGCAATACAACTGTGATTTCCACTCCCTTTCTCCCCCAATTTAATCCAACTGTAACTTCCCTCAGAGAGACAGATGGTAAGTCTCTAACCTCCCCCAGAGACACAGATGGTAAGTATAAGTACATAAGCATCAGGAGTGATCATGTATCATAAACATTAAAAATGCAAGCAAACAAGTAGATCACTTACTTGGAGGAGTTTGTGTTGGCTTAGAATCCTCTCTCTCTCTTTCATCTGCATACTGCAGTGTTCTTTTAGATCGAGGCCTAGTGACTGGTCTCCCATTTGAGCTGGTGGCAAGATTTTGAATGTACTTGTGAGAGGGCAGATAGAGGTCATCAAAATCATCTTCAGAACTGCTTGATTCACAGATGCTCCCTTCAGACTTATGGTCGTTTTCCTCTCTATTAGAATCAGCACTTGTTTTTTGTCGGAAAGGAGTGAGATGAATAAGCTCTTCTAAATTAAAATTGTAAGCATCACTGGAACTGACAGATTTATCCAATTTACTGTTGGAAACATTTGTTTTATTTTCACTTTTGTTCCTTTTATGCTTTGATGTAGATTTTGATTTTTTACTTCTGTTAGCTTTTCTTTTCTCTTCTCTTTTTCTTCCTTTTGCATCTTTACATTTACTTTTAGTTTGTTCAGATTTAGATTCCAAAATAATTTCCTTTGTTTTAGTAAATTTTCCTGGGTGAATGAGCTTTGGTGATAAATTAATTTGGTCCTTGTTCCACTGACAAACATTTTGTTCTACATTTTCAGGTACGTGTATGTTTACTCCTGGGTCTACACATTCAATTCTTTCCAATTCATAAGGCTGCCTTGCTAAATGACTGGTTTCAAAGTCATTCCAAGTATTGAACAGACTTATATCATTAAAATCTTTCTTTAAACGGCGATGGAAAGATATTGTTCTAGGTAATATATAATCAGTAGACTTAGCTTCATCTGAATCAAGGTCACATCCCAGTGTGTCTTGAGTAGTAGTAGACATTTGTTCTGAGGATTTAAAAAATAAATGAGAAAAATAACAATTATTTTTCAGAATTTGTCAAAAATTTTAGAATTTAAAGTTTCAGAAGAGGCATTCTATAGTTTTCTTACATTTACTGTAAGTACATAAAAATTTGGAAAACAATTTCACCATCTATTTGCTTATCAATAGCTTATATTTGTTCTGTGAAAGACTCTTACTCTATATTTATAGGTAACATAGGATATTTATATAGTTTTGCTTATTGCAACACTATCCCTTCTTCAAAGGTTAGTACAAGTAGATAAGACTGATATTTGAGAACTGGGACACATCAACTTAAAAGTAGCAAGAAGGGCATGGCTTTGGAGCTCAGCCTTGAGTTTAAACCCTACCTCTTATCATCAGGATTAGTGCTTGTGAGATGCTTTACTTGAGTCTATATAAAATGGGATTGACTGTATCTATAGTCCCAGGCTGCTTTGAGAGTTATGACAATGTATATAAAAATGCCTAATACAGACCTAAACACATAGTAAGTAGGGCTTGGTAAAATGCAGTTATAGTTGTAATTAAGATTTCTGATTACAGATTTGGCACAGTAGATGGATGTACATAAACCTATATTATTCTATGTAAAATAAACAGATTTGTTTTGAGCAGAATTGCAGATAAACAGATTTAAAAAGTAAAAACAAAAATTATGTTACTTGTTCTCAATGATCTTGCCCTTAATATTTTTAGATTTTTACTTAAATTACCTTCTATTTGCAATGATTCTCTGTGTCTTGGAAGGTCAGTTTCTTCAAGAGGAACTCGCCTTAGAAAATACCAATGCAAAATGTAAATTTATTTAGCAATTATATAATAGAAACAAATTTTAATACTTTTCTAAATTATAAGAGTTTTTTCTTTTAGTACCACTTCATAATTCCATTACAAATCAATACATCTGGTTCTGTAGCAAAGGAAATAAAAAAAGTTTATGCTGATTACATGAAGACTGATTTGTTAGGATTGACATTCGACTCCCAGTGGAAGAACTAACATCAAGTTAGATTGCTCTGCCTGAAAACATGCTATAACTCAATTTCATTTAACTGAAGAAAAAGGCAATTCAAGTTGACATGTTTTTAAAAATGCAATTTGGTCACTAAACTCTTAGAAGACTGCTTTATTATTAGCAGAGCTATGAGATGTGAGATAATGTATGTTTTTATGGTGTCAACCATTGAACTCTTCTGAGTTGTTTAACAGTTCACTTTAGTTAAAACTCTCGTTCTTTGGTTCACGAAACAAACAATTTTCTTTATGCTCAAAATCTTTTTTCATTATAATTGCAATTTTTATTCTTGATTCTTTGTACAGAGATTTCTACCCTATATATGAACAATTAAACAGAAGTTTAGAAGCTTTGGTAACCAATAAAAAAATTTGATTTATCTCATCTTACTTTTGTCCATGATATGTTTTGTCAGATCTTAAAGTTAAAACAGCTTAAAAACTAATACTGATGGCTGGGGATGGAGTTCAGTGGTAGAGCCCTGGCTTACTTTGCTTAAGGCCCTGGGTTAGATCCCCAGCAACATAAACACACACACACACAGCCCAAAACAACAACAAAAAAACAGAAATAAAAAAACTCCTCCCAAAACACCAAAACAAAACTATCAATGATTAATCATCAATGGATCATAATGGGACAGACTTGAAAGTGATATAAGGGAGCTGTCAGTGGTAGTAATTCTCACCTTGGGAAAAGTTATGTTTCCCTGGGGATATTTAGCAATATCTGAAATTATTTTTTACTTTTTACAATGGGGGGATGGGGTTGCTGAGGACATTGTGTGGATAGAGGCCCAAAATGCTACATTCTGTAGTCCATAGCCTTCAACAACACAGAAGTATTTGGCTTAAAATGTCAACAGTATCAAGATTAAGAAACCTTGTGCTAAAATGAGGGAAACACTCTGTATCTTAAGTAGGTTTTGTTTCCCCCCTACACTGGGGATTGAACCCAGGGTACTCTGCCACTGAGCTACATTCTAGTCCTTTTTATTTTTTGAGAGAGGGTAAATTGCTAAATTGAAGAGGCTAGCCTTGAACTTGCAATCCTCCTGCCTCTGCCTTCAAAGTGGCTGGGATTATAGACATGTGCCAGCATGCTGGATTCAGGTTTTGATTTTACAGTGGATACAGTAGTCAAACTCATTGAACTATGTAATTAAGATCTGTCCATTTTACTATATGATTAAATTTCAATAATTCATAAGCATGCATAAAGTATCCTTGATCCAAGAGAAGGAGAAGAGGGTATATAGGATCTGATGGAAAAAAAGAAATCAGATCAGTGAGATGGTGTGACAATGATGTTCACTATGATATTTTATTATATATATTTTTCCTAAACCAGACTATTTTTAGGACTGGTAAAATATTCTCATTTTAATTACAAATATTCTCAGAATAAAAACCTGATACAGGGAAAAATATGACTGAAGAAAATATTTTAAAAGTTCTTGTGAAGCTTCTTTATTTCTAGAAATAACTACATATAAGACAAAGAAAGCTCTAATTTGGCTATATATAATAGAATTTTCACATTAAATTTTCTTAAATATATTCTTAGTATGAAAGAGCATTAGACTCCAAATATGAGTCAATATGAAACCAATTTTTGTTTTTGTAAATAAATCACAAAATTAAATCTACCCTGGTATTGATACTCATAATAATAATAATATCATTACCCTGGTAATGATGCTAACGGTGAATCCTTCACAAATAAATCGCTGGTGTTGTCATCCCTATTGGAGTCCATTTCAGAGGAACGTATTTCCTGGTTCTGTTAATGCATAAAGCAAAGGAAAACACTGTTAAAATTGAAGTATTTATAAAAAGTATTCATTTATTCAACAGTATACACTTATTGACAGTTTACTATGGTGTCATGTACTTTCAGGAGTTGAGACTATGCCAACTAAATGATCAAATTCTACCCTATTAAAGCTTACATTCTATAGTAGGAAGAGAAAAAGAAAGAAAAAAAAAGAAAGATACATAGATCATTTTAGATAGTGCTAAGTGCTATGAAGGAAATTCCAGAATGAAGTGACAGGCAGTAATGAAAATTAAATTTAAGACAAAGTGAATTTGACCAACATGTGAAGACAGGAAAGGAATTAGCTATTGAAATAACAGGAAAACAGGAAGGAAAAAAGCAGTGGAAATAGCAAATATAAAAGTCATAAAGTTGCTGTGTTTTAGAAAAATAGTTCAATGTGGCTAGAACATAGTCATTGAGAACAGTAGGTGGTGTACATGGGAAAGCCAGATAATAAGGGCATTGGGAGCTATAGTTTGAAATTTAGTCTAAGTGTGATAGGAAGTGATTTAAATATTAAGTAGGGAAGTAAAATGATAAGCTTTAAAAAGATCATTGGTGTACACTTGTAGTTCTAGTGATTTGGGAGGCCCAGGTAAGAGGACTCCATGTTTAAGGCCAGGCTGGACAAGTTAGTGAGATTCAGGATCAAATGAAATAAAAAAGAGCTGGGAATGTAGTTCAGAGACAGGAAACTCCCCTTTACTTGAAAACGATCATGTCTTAGGTTTCTTGGCATCATATTCCCTTATGTATGTATGTATGTATTTATTTATTTATTTTTTTACATTCCTGATTGTTCCATGTCAGTCTCCTCTGTGTGGCAAAATGCAGAGGTCTTACTACTTCAAGGAGAGTAAAGTAATGATTGCACAATCCCCATTACTAGGGGGAAAAAAAAGCCAGGGATGCAGCTCAGTGGTAGAGTGCTTGCCTAGCATGTGTGAGGCTCTGGGTTCAATCCCTGGTATTGCAACCAAACCAAACCAAACCTAACCAAACCATTAGTCCGACTCACTGTGTGAAGCATGGATTAAAAGGGGCCAAAGGTTGAAAGAGTTTGGTGGTGAATCCCGCTGGAAGGTTCTGAGATAATAAATCATGCATAAAGATTGAATAAGGATATAGGTGAGGGAAGGTAGAAGGAAGCTCTTATGGTTTTGGCCTGATCAAAGAAGTAGGCCATTTTACTGAGATGAGCAAGAATTATTGAGGGAGATGGAAGCATACAATAAATCTGGGAGAGGGAAAGCAAAGAGTTGTGCTCTGTAGAAAGCATGTTTTGAGATTCTAAACTTTGAAGTGGAGATATCTAGTAGCTGTGTATGTGTGTGTATGTGGTTTTAGGTCTTGAGCCATGAATTTGAAAGTCACCAGCAGATAGACAATATATAAAGCTATGGAAAGGATGAGTCAAGTCTAGACAATTGCATTTAAACATAAAGCATCAGCCAGTAAAGGAGATTGACATGCAACAGTCAGAAAGGCAACAAGAAACCTAGTGGAGGATAATGTCAAGGAATCTAAGAACAGCAAACTTTTCAAGTAAAGAACCACCTATGTTGCATATGATCGCTAGGTCAAGAAACAGAAGTGACCACTGAACTGGTTAAAGTAGAAGTTTTGGTCATCTTGATACAGAGCAAAAATAGAATAGTAGGAATAGGGGCCAGATAAAAGTGGTTTGAAATGTGAATGGAAGGTGAGGAATTTAAGGCAGTGGATGTATTTTTTTTTTTTTTCTGGAAAAATTCTGCTGGGAAGGGAAGTAGAGACATGAGGAGGGAGAGAGATAGGTGACCAGGAGAGGTTTCATTTATTTTCCTTTTCCTCTAAAGACAAGAAATACTAAAGCACCTTTGTATGATGGCTAGATTGATCCAGTGGAGGCGGTACATGGGGAGGAAAGACCAAATTTCCAGCAGCACAGTCCTAAACAAGGAGGGAGGAATGGAATTTGAGGCATAAGGCTTGGCTTTTAATTAGAGTCCCAGTCTGATTCCTAAGAAATCATTCTAATTTAATTCAATTCAATTGATTTTTAAAATGTGATGAACATATATTGACTTTTTACTTAAAAGGCTAAAACTATTCATTAGAAATTAATCCTTGTGAAAAATTTTCAATTTAATATCAAATAAATAATGTTTGAAAACAGTATTATTAATCAATGTAAATAAAGGAGAAAGGAATATTTAACTATGCAGTAATTTTTTTTTTTAAATCAGTAGACTTTTTTTTTTTTTTAAGAGAGAGAGAGAATTTTTAATATTTATTTTTTAGTTTTCGGCGGACACAACATCTTTGTTTGTATGTGGTGCTGAGGATCGAACCCGGGCCGCACGCATGCCAGGCAAGCACGCTACCGCTTGAGCCACATCCCCAGCCCCTATGCAGCAATATTAAGAAGATATATTATAAAACTTAGGAACAAAAGACTTGGAAATTTTTGTAGACTACTTATAGGCAATTTTAAGTATTTTAAGTTTTTCTGTAACTGCTAAATTGACTTAACCACTGAAACACAAGTACAGATTGATGTTGAGAATGAGTGACAACATGTAATAAATATATGATGGAAAATAAGCTTGGATATTTTAAATGCTAAGAATCCATCTGCTTAGCAACTAACAACGCATTTTAATGGTCAAAAATCATTGATAAATGTTAAAGGGCCTAAAAATGACAGAATTCTCTCTCCACTGTTTTTGCAATGATGTCACTGAGTATTCATTTTGTACTATTTCTGTGTGATTTCAGCAAAAACTTTGGAAAGGGAGGAGGAAGATTCATATGCCTTTAGAGGGATTTTTTTTCCCCTATTAGTTGACTAAAAAAGGAAAAGAAAAAAAAATTTAAGATTATATCCTGAAGAAAAAACTTTTTAAAAAATAGAATCTAACTCTACACAAAAGTGAAGAAATCATGTCTAATCCTTTAAATTTTTTTTTTAGTTATAGATACCTTTATCTATCTATTTATTTTTTTAATGTGGTGCTGAGGATTGAACCCAGTGCCTCAAATGTGCTAGGTGAACACTCTACCACTGAGCCACAACCTCAGTCCCATATCTAATCTTTATAGAGGTAATTTTCAACATTTATATGTATATTTCACATACATGTATATATATATGTATATATTTACACACGTGTCTATGTCATATGTATTAAAATAAGGAATCATTCTCTAACTTCTTCTGTCAACTGAGTGGTGATTTTAATTCTTTTTCTCAAATCATGCCCCCTATAGTCCTAACTCAACCACTGTAGTCTGACTTTCTTATCTGGCCCAAGTGCCAATGTGGCTGTCTTCACTCGCACAGCAAATAGACAGCCACTGGAAAGAAAGTAAACTGACCTGTTAACACTTGACACTCACCACTGCTTTTCTCATTCTCTGCCTCATGTAATTTGCCTGGCAGTGGCTTCTGGACAAAGGGAAGGAGAAACTGGCTCATCATTATTCTTCTCAGGATTATCATACAATGAGACACAAAGAATATGAATATCCTAAAGCAAACTTTGTCCATGTCTATTATATTTTGGCTGGCAGAACCATATTTGAGTCCCTTCTTTACAACCTTGGACACAAACAGAATCAGATTAAAAATTTGCTCAGCAAAATATTCAGGATTTTTCTTGTCTACGTGTTAAGGATAGCCTTCCTTATTTAGCCAACTAGTAGGTTGAAAATGATTCTCCAAAAAGCATTTAAATACTCCCCATGCCCTAAATAAAGGCAATTCTTATAAAACCCCACCAGATGGCAAAACTACATAGGAAAGATAAAACTCAAGTTAGCACTGATTTAAACTTTTGGACTAGTCCACTCAACTAGCACACTTTAGCCTTTAGCTTAGTTGCCCTTTTATTCACTTAGTTGAATATTGGAAGGGGACCAACAGTGTAAAGGCTAAACTATTCCTTCTGCAAGTTGTCTTGCTACCTGTATCAAAACCGAGTTAGATAGGCACAACCTTCAATCACCTGTATGACTGAAGCTTTCTTAACTGGCCATACATAATACCTGTGCTGGAGCATGGAAAAGAAACAATTCACTAATAACAGAGATATCTATAATTAATTTAAATAATAAACTGATCTAAACAAATTATTCATGTTTTCCCCCCTAAGAAATTCAGCCTTTATAATAAAAATACCTGAGCAGCTTTTGTTTGTTGTGAAGCAAGTTTTTCTTTCAATGCATATAACTGACATGCAAGGTAGTAACACTCTCTTCTCAGCTGCAGGATGATATCTTGGGCTTCCCTCACTTTGGATTTTTCATTTTCCAAAGCTAAAACTAACATTTTGTTGTTTTGTTGGGTATTTTTCAGCAGTGTAGAAGTGATGTCTAAAAGAGGATAAAATAAATGTATCAGTTATTAAATCTAAACTTAAAAAGTGATGTAAAAGGATGACATAAAAATCTCTTACTGAGTACTTGGCACGGTGCAACTATGAAGGATTTGCGTTTGCCAAGCTCTGTCAAGTTTTTATTCCTTTTCTCTTTCATTCGCTTCTTTATGTCTTCAAGACTATCTTGAAAGGATTTTTTCTGGCACCTTTCCTTAGCCATCTTTTGCCTAAAAATTTAAAACAATAAAAAATATGTAATTTTCCCCAGAGACAATAGTATCAATTATAAAATTTAAGACTGAAAATACAGGTTGTTCACAAGTAAGGGATTAAGTAGAGATTTAACTGTAGAATTAGCTCAAAGTAGGTAGCTGGTTAACCCGATTATAACATAGATTTTACAGCTTTAAAATCTCATTAATGCAAGGTGCTATGGCCAATGCCTGTAATCCCAGCTGTTCATGAGGCTGAGGCATGGGTGATCATGAGTTGAAGGCCAGCCTGGGCAACATATAAGCACTCTCCTATCAAAACACAAACTAAAAAAATCAGATGTTAGAATCATCTTCATTATATGCACATAAAACAACTTTATAAAATCTCAATATTTTTGACATAATTCTTTCCTCTTCAGCCACTTTATATGAAAGCTTTATTGAATATTGATTTCCAATCCAAAGATTCCATAATATTACTTATTCATTCTTGCCCAGGCTGGCCTCAATCTTATATTCTCCTGCTTAGCCTCCTCTCCAGTCACTGGGATTACAGGTGTGTACCACTGTATCTGACCCAACTTATTCATTCTTTACCAGATAATCATTGGAGACTTATTATATTATATGCACTATGTGAAATGCTTAAATAATATTTTGTTGGGTTTTCTTTTTTTTTTTTTTACATTTTCCTTTTTATTTGGGGAATCAGTCTCCCTATGTTGTCTAGGCTGGTCTTGAACTCAGTGGGCTTAAGTGATCCTCCTGCCTCAGCCTCCCAAGTAGCTGGGACTATAGGCGTGTACCACCATATCTGGCTTATTATTAAATTTTGATGCCATTATTATTATTGTTTCTTACAATGTTGATGGTCAACTTTTAGTACTTAGGCTTGCAGCATTAGTTTAGAGGCAATTATATACATAGCTGGGTTTTGTTTTCTCTAATTATTCATTTATTAAATTAAGCCACTCAGTTGCTTGTCTCTTTCCCACAGTTTTAACTGAGCATCATTTAAGATAGGTACACACAAGAAAGTCACAGTGATCCTCAAAGATTTAAAGTATATAGTACTATTTATAATTTTAGCAGGCTATAACAAAGACCTATAAAGAAAAGGAACTGGGACAGAGAAACATGCCAGTATTCTCAGTTATTACTAAAACTCCAGAATGCTAAAACTTCCAGGAAGTTATGAACATAGTAAATGGGACATTAAATAATTGTTCTACATGCAGTTAAAAGTAGCAAAACATGCACTGACAGTGTAATATGCTATTGAGGATTTTAATGTGAGTGTAATAATTTTTCAGTGCTGCACACCAGACACTTCAGCATGCTAAACATTTTTATAGACAAATTTTATCCTAAAAAAAAAAAAAAAAGTCTGGGTCTGGGGCTGTAGCTCAGTGGTAGAGCACTTGTCTCACACACCAGGCACTGGGTTCAATCCTCAGCACCCCGTAAAAATAAATTATAAAGATATATATTTTTTAAAAAAGTCTGGTTTCCAACAACAATCCACTCATACAATTTTCAAATTTATCATAAAGGATATCTTCATCTCTGTTAGTCAAATATTTTATTAAATCTTATATTTTCTTGCATATTTTCCCCCCAGGCCTTATTTTCCTTTATGCAGTGTCTGAGGATTTGAATAGATATTATGGATCCTGACTAAATATTTTACTCTTACCAATGTAAATACAATATATCGGTTTCCAGAAGACAAAGAGCAAACTCTTAAGCACTAACAGTAAGTGGATTATATAAAACTTATCACAAAGAAGTTTTTAAAGTTTGAACTGGAGGTGCTTCAGAACCTTACAGATGAAGTAACTGAAGTTAGCTTAGCTATGTTAAAAGCAAAAGCCTATGTGAAAAGTTTTCGTTAATATACCTAAGCAAACTAAAATAATAAATTCGCTGTAAGTTTTAATGATTCTCTACGAGGATGGTGGTTAACAGGGGGTTGTGGTAGGACAAATGAAAGTAGACACAAGTCACAGGTCTCAAGCCTGTCATACTGTCATGGTATTCCGGAAGGGTCTGTATTCAAAAGAACCTAGAATAGTTGCTGATTACCAGTATTTTTCTAAAGGGTGTTGCGGAGGCGCCAGCAAGGGCAGAAAACAAAATGCCTGGACAAGGAAAGGATGTCAATGGTTCCGCGCTACACACAGAAGAGCTGCCAATTTTTCTACGTCCTTACATTACGCCTAGCTTCTAACTACCGTAAGTGCTTTATTTGCACACTACTTAATCCATATAATCGACACAATTCTGCAAGCAGGACGTTCGGGTCCCCCTTTATTTAACAGAAGACAAAACGAAAACATCAGAAAGTGACGATCGCGAGGTCAAACGAAGCCGGGTCAGTATGACCCACAGTCTGGGCTTTAGGCCACTGAATTTAATAAGATACGGAGACTCTCAGGAAGAACGAACGAGTCGTCCTAGTTCCACACCTGTAAACCTGCAATCTCTTTCTTCGATGGACTTAGGAAGAGCTGAAGCGATTGGGGGGTGGGGGATGCCGGAAGTGGGCCGGGAGACCCGCCTCTCTCAGGAGCGTCCAAAATGGTACCTGGGCCACCACGACTGCTGAAGCTGTCGCCCTCCTTCGCACATCCCAAGGCTCCACAAAGCTGTCCCGCCACGCGCGAGGCCCGCGCTCCGGGCCCGGCAGGTCTGCAACTCGGTCTCGGATCACCCGCAACTACCGCCACCACATTCAAAATTCTCCGCTGGGCTCACCTATTGGCTGGCTGGAGGGGTCACGTGACGCGACGACGCAGCTCCCACCCGCGACGCAGGGAGAGCCCCCCCCACTGGAGGTATCACGTGATGCATTCGGCGGGCTCCACCCCTTCACCCGCTGTCTAGGTGGCTGTTAACCGGGACTTTTCTGCTCAGAGTCGCTGAATTTATAGGGGCGGAGTCACTCCAAGACCTTTAAGGTGGGGTATTTTCCGTGGCTCAAAGCTTCCCACTTCTTTAGTCTAACAGAACGAAAGCTTCCCGGCTCCACCTTGTGCTCGAGGGCTCCCTCTAGTGAGAAACAGCCAGTCAGCATGTACACGGAGGTAGCTTTAAAGAAGTTAAAAACCAGGGGCTGGGGATGTGGCTCAAGCGGTAGCACGTCCGCCTGGCATGCTTGCGGCCCAGGTTCGATCCTCAGCACCACATACAAACAAAGATGTTGTGTCTGCCAAAAAAAAACTAAAATAAATAAAGAGAGAGTTTAAAAAAAAAAATTAAAAACCAAAGCTGAAAGAACATTGTCTATTGCAAAGATATTATTAGGCAAAGTGCAGACTTCTGAAATTTTGTGCTCTATGTTCTCGCCTTTGGCTGTTCCGCCTCTTTCTGTTTAACCCTCAGGGACTGGCAGGGGAGTTCCCACACGAGAGTGCTCCAAACTCTGGAGATGGGGCTGTTTGGCATTCCTAAGAGAGAAGCACAAAATGCCAGAGTCATCAGTCAAAAGCATTTACTAGGGGACTTTACAGAGGCCTGCAGCTTATTCTCAGGACATATAGCCATAAAAAGGGATATTCTAAGTGTATCATCAGTGAGAGGGCAGGGTATGGAGTTTATGAGGGTTTAAGGAATTTTGGCTCAGGGTCAGCTTCTTTAAATGTTTTGGGGAAACAACCTAAACATCTTTTTTTTTTTTTTTTTTTTTTTAATGTAGATAGACACAATACCTTTATTTGTTTTTATGTGGTACTGAGGATCCAACCCAGTGCCTCACACTACCACTGAGCCACAGGCACAGCCCCACAACCTAAACATCTTTGTCAGTTCCTGGGAATGTTCAAGGCCCTACCTGGGATCAAGCCTGCTGGGAAAACCCACAGCTGGCTGGGTCACAGAGCTGCAAAGGCATTTTTGAGATTTTTTTGCTCAGGAAACAAAGAGAATGAGGGGCTGAGTGTGGGGGGACCCTACTCTGAGGAATTAATTAGAAGACAAGGAATTATTTAGTGACTTGCTTCCAAACTTTTTTCTCATTTGTGGCAGAGCTACTTTGCTAAACCTAGAGGCAGCTTCACAATCTGAACAAAGCCCTTGAGACTGCAATTAATACCAATGATATGAATAATTAGAGCTGACATGTGAAATCACATTTATTTGCCCTAATTTCCCCACTTCTATAGGAAATATAATAGTTGTATATGTATGCAGAAATAGCTGGAGGTGGTTTATTTATATTGAATATGAATTTGTGTTCTTTAAAGGTGTTCATTTCACCTTAGAAATTACCCAGCTAGCAAATATAAATGTTCTGAGGTAAGTTGTTTCCCAGGATGCAACAGCAAGTCAAAAGCTGAACTTTGCATCTGCTTTTTACTTAATTATGTCTGGCACATGGTAGGCAATAAATATCTATTGGAGTATTTGGTTGAATTGAATAAATAAAACTCATATTTCAGATCTGGTGATAAGCAAAATAAATGATAATTGTTAGTACTCTTGCCCACAATTCAACTTAATATTGTGCTTTTCAAGCTAATGTATATAAGAATCAATTGGAGCCAAGCATGGTGACTTGTGTACCTGTAATACCAGCCACCCAGGAGATTGAGGCAAGAGGATCACAGGTTTGAGGGCAGCCTCAGCTTTTTAGTGAGGACCTGAGAAACTTGACAAGACTTGTGGTGAGCCGTGTTTGTAGACCGTTGCCGCCATTAGAAGATGGCGCCGGTTTCCGTTGTGGATCTTGGTAAACAACTCCTTATTAGGAAGTATTGGCGCGCTGTCCCTCAATACCCTATGAGAAAACCCCACGTGGCAGCTTCGGATTGGACTTGAGCAAGCTTTATTAGGCTGTGTGGGGGTGCGTGAAGAAAAAGAGCGCGCTTGAGAGAAGACTAGAATTAAGGCCTGAATAAACCGCTGAAAGAAGAATCCTGTGTCGTGTCTTCCTTGCTGGCGAGGGGGTCGCGACAATTGGTGGCCTGGACGGGGAACCGAATACCTCTCAATCCCAGGATCCAGAACTTTCAGCGGTCAGGGTGGTGCACCGGTAAGTTCCCAGGTAAGTGGGAATCCGCGGAAAAATTAGCGGGTCGCTCCTCTGTAAGAAGAGAGAGCGGGGATTTTTTGGACTTTCGCTTTCTTTCTTTGCTTTCGCTTTCTGTATTAACGCCATGGGCGCCTCTGCTTCTAGCCCTATTCTGTTAGCCCTGGATGGACTGCTACGATCTAAAGGTTTAAAAGTTAAACAGAGTACTTTGCAGATGTTCTTAAAACAAGTAGACCTGGCGGCCCCGTGGTTTGCTTACTCCGGCAGTCTCACGACCCCCAGTTGGGAAAAGTTAGGCAGGGATTTAGATTTTGCACACGAACAAGGGACCCTCAAAGGTGGGGTGATTCCCTTATGGAAGTTAGTAAGGGGTTGTTTATCTGATAGTAGATGTCAGGATGCCCTAACCAAAGGACAGGAGATTCTTGAACAATTGCATGAGGAGAGGTCCGAGGGAGCTGAGAGTATTAAGAGTGGGGGAGGTGATAGAGATGATAAAAGTTCAAGCCAGCCAAAGACTAGACTTTATCCAGATTTGACTGAATTGAAAGCCTTTGAGGAAGACACTAGTTCAGACAATGAGGAAGTATTGGAATTGCTATCAAGGCAAGCTAGAGAGAAAAGGGGAAAAGGTGAAACTAAAGGGCGAAGTGATCCCCGTAAGGCTGTCTACACAGAACATAAGTACCCAAAGACAGATGTGGGATATGAGGAAGAGGGGGAGGATGCTTTGGAGATTCCTCCTGATCCTCCACCCTATCCTAACCCAGGACTCAATAGGACGTTTCATGCACAAACTTGGAGAAAGGTTCATTCAGACATGGGTCTAGCATTCCCTGTGTTTCAAGATGCCAATCGGGGGCGATATCATGAACCCCTTGACTTTAAAATTGTCAAGATATTGGCTGAATCAGTCCGAACCTATGGTGTGGATGCTGCATTTACACTTACTCAGGTGGAGGGCCTTTCTCGCTTTTGTATGACTCCGTCTGATTGGGCGAGCCTGGTGCGCGCCTGTGTTTCTCCAGGAAAGTATCTGGATTGGAGAGCATTTATGTTGGAGGGGGCAGTAGAGCAGGCAGCTCAAAACCATGCGGCGGGACGCCCTGCCTGGGATAAGGATATGCTTTTGGGACAGGGCAGATTTGCCAATCAACAAACAGGGTACCCACCGGAAGTATATGAACAAATCAACAACATTTGCATCCGAGCCTGGAAGTCCTTGCCTAACAGAGGGGAAGTATCTGGTAATCTAACTAAGATCATCCAAGGCCCCACAGAGCCTTTTTCTGACTTTGTGGCTCGGATGGTAGATGCAGCGGGGAAAATATTCGGGGACCCTGATGGAGCTATGCCTTTGATCAAACAACTTGTTTTTGAACAATGTACTAAGGAATGCAAAGCAGCTATAACCCCATATAAAAATAAAGGAATAGAGGCATGGATGAAAGTCTGTAGGGAAATAGGTGGGCCCCTTACTAATGCAGGGTTGGCTGCTGCCGTTCTCCAGCTAACCCGAAAACCACCCCCTCATACAGGAAAGTGCTTTAGATGTGGCCAGGAGGGACATTTTAAGCGTGATTGTCCACGAACATGTCAGTTACAGGACAAAAAAGGGTCATCCTCAATTGTTCGACAGCCGGGACTATGTCCTCATTGCAAGAAGGGTAAACATTGGGCTAATGAATGCAGATCAGTCAAGGACATCCATGGACAGCCAATATCAGATAGACAGGTGCCAAAAAACGGCCGGAAGGGCCCTCGACCTCAGGGCCCGCAAATATATGGGGCAATGGAGAATGGGACCTTGGAGAGCGAAACATGGCCATCTCTACGACATCCCAAAGATCGCGGAGAACCACTACAGGTGCCGCGGGACTGGACCTCTGTTCCGCCTCCAGACTCGTATTAACACCTAAAATGGGAGTCCAATTGGTGGAAACTGACTTTAAAGGACCTTTGCCACCTGGTACTGTAGGGCTGTTAGTTGGGCGTGCTTCTTCCGCTTTACAAGGCCTTTACATCTTCCCTGGAATTATTAATCCGGATACAATAGGAACAGTAAAAGTTATGGTAGAAGCTCCAAAAGGTATTGTGTCCATCTCCCAAGGAGACCAGATTGCTCAATTGTTAATTCTACCCAGTCTACATACCCGTTTTCCTGCTGGCTCCCATTTGAGATTAAATGATAAGATTGGGACAACGTGGGGGAAATTGTGTATTTTTGTCCTTAGAAATGGATGACCGTCCCACATTAAAATTAACTATAGAAGGCAAATCAATTTTAGGATTACTGGATACTGGAGCAGATCGTAGCATAATAGCAATGAAGGACTGGTCAAAGGGGTGGCTGGTGCAACTCTCGGATCAATCGCTGAGGGGTTTAGGATATGCTCAAGCTCCACAAGTCAGCTGTAGACATCTATCATGGAAAGATTCTGAAGGACATTCTGGCATTTTTCAACCATATGTACTTGATCTCCCAATCTCCCTATGGGGATGTGATCTTATGAAGGACATGGGGTTTCAGCTTAGTAATGAATACTCAGCAGTTGCCCAAAAGATAATGCAAGACATGGGATATAGACCAGGTCTTGGATTAGGTAAAAATTTACAGGGACGTAGACGTCCCATACAATCAATACCAAAACTTAACAGACATGGGTTGGG